AGAACAACAAAAAACATTAGATTATTAATAGCCAGAATAATAGACAACAAACAAAATAGGTTTGTTGGCTATTAGTCTGTACTTAATTCTTGTTTTATAGACTTGATTATTAATAATTCAACTTTTCTAATTTTATCCATCTAACTGGTATTTTATACCTTTTTAAGTTAATAAATCATGAACAAGAATTTTGTAAAATGTTCTGATGTTAAAAAGTAATTTTCCAAAAGTAATACACTATTTTAAATGCCTATATAAAAACAATTGAATAATTTTAAAAGTTTGAAATTTAGCAGTAAAAAATTTATTTTGTTATCTTTCAAATGAATTATTTAGATTGATACCATGTAAATGTTATAAAATCCTATTAAGAATTGTCAAATCTAATATATGTAATAATGTAGCTACTAGAATCTGGATCTCTTCCATTTTATCTATCTATACTTTTTAGATTAATAATAGTATCATTATTCTTAATAGAAATTAAATGTCATATTTCATATGAGCTTGTGTACCTAGATGTGCTTACATGCACTGTAAAGAGAAACATTTTCTATTCCTTTTCCCAATATTGTCCTTGCATATTGTATCCAAAAACAATAGAGAGGTTGCGGCCGACATTTTCATCACAAAAATGTGTATGTCAGACATTCAGCGCTGCCTTCCTGTAAACCTAGAAGTTTGACAATGGCATTTGGAACATCAAACATGATTACACTGACTTCCAAATGCCATTGTCAAACTTCTAGGCTTACAGGAAGGCAGTGCTAAGTGTCCAATGTTCATGTTTTTGCGTTGAAAACTTCAGTTGCAACCTCTCTATTAATTAATTAATTAATAATGCCATAATTAAATCACTGTGCAAAAGTATGAGAAATAATAATATGTAGGTGTCAAACAAAAATATAATTATATTAACAAATTTCTATGTAAAGCAGTTATTACATAAAAAATTAAAATTTCATTTAAAATTAACTCATTTTTATCATGTTCATTCTAAGGAAAATATACATAAATTGAAAAAAATCGATCAAACTTTTAACTATATTTTTTAATGCTAAATAAATGTAACAAAAAATTAAGGAATCACCTATATATATTTACATTGATTGCTGTATCTTTAACTTTAATGTAGATGAATTAGAATTTTTTTTGAAAAAATTGTAAGAACAATTTTGTGTATTGGATTAATTTAGAAGATATATTCATACAGGTTTCTTGCCATAATTAGCCATACTATAGCTTAATTAAAATTCAGTTGTATTGTTAGTTTATTAAGATATATATCTTATAACAGTTATAGCAGAAATTACATAATAATTTCAGTAAAATAATTCATTTTCTGTATGTTAAACTAATATTGGAATACGTCATTCTAATGACAGATTTCAATTACATTTGTCAGTGATGATAAATTATTACTTTACACTAAAGAAATAAAACTTTTTCATAATTACTATATAACTTATACAGAAATTAGTTAGTTGTATTAAAAATAATATTTTATTATTAATATTATCAAATTATTAAAAAATCAACATTGTAATACAGACGGCCGGGTGGCTGAGGTGGTTAAGTTGTCAACCAACTGTTCTAGATGACCCAGGATCAAATCTAGACAGTCAAAAAATCCCAGGAATTTTTCACGGGTGGTCTCTCCTGGATATATCAAGCTCTACCCCTCATCATCCGGTCGTTCCCCATTGTGGTCTTGACCAAATCCATGATGGGTATAGAAAACAAAAAGGCCCTCTTAGTGCCCACAGGGCAGAAAGAGACAAAAATGAAAAAGTGTAATTTGATTTCCTTGTAAGTATAATTTAATATTGTAAGTATAAGTTGTAAGTATAAAGTTTAATATATTTGGGTTAGTCAATTAAAAATGAACCTGAGATCATAAAATTTCAGATATTTTTATTATCTTAAAAATAATTCCCAGAATTATTTAAGCATATTTTTAGTTAGTTCAAATTATTTTAACTTAGAAATAGCAGGATATTGGGCAGGTTTCTAAATTCAATTATCATGCCACTTTTAAATGCAAATCAAGACTTCGTGTTAATTGCTTTACTTATGTAAATGAAAATTATTAATTTAAATAACTATTGTTGTAACCTGCTGCTATTTTAAGGAACAACAGTACTGTCTTATTTAATTCAAAAAAATATACAAAAAAAAAAAGAATTAGGTCAAACAACAAGTAATGTGGCAATACAATGTTTACAGACACAATTTTAAATCATGTGATTTTTTTTCCGCAGAAATTTAATTATAGGTTGACATGTGCCATGAGATAAAAAAGATTGAAAAATACTGCAATAGGTAGTCAATAGCTTTCTCATAGAATTCTTTCAAATCTCTTCATTCAGCCATTTTCAAACCCCTCTTTAACTTCATCCAATGCAAATTGAATGTCTTATTAATGCTTGTTTCAAATGCCCAAAAATGGCAGTTATAAGATGATAAATCTGAATTGTAAGGGGGGTTATAAAGGATATTTCATCCAAATTGCTCCAATTTGTCCCTGGTTTTATTAACAATGTGTGGGCAAAGGCATTATAATGGAGAAGTACAACAGTCCAGGCTATTTTGACTTAATTTATCACTGTAAGCTTTTTAATGTTTCCTGACACCATATAGAGTTGACAGTTACTCCATGATCAAGGAATTCAATAAGGAGTGCCTTTCTTCTATTGCAGGAAAAAATCAGCATTATCTTTCTCATATTGTTGTGGATGATCATGGCTTTCTTTGGCAGAGTGGATCATGGATGTTTCCACTTTAGACTCTGCCACTTGCTTTCAGACTGATTCTACATGTGAGCACCAATGCTCTTACCCCTCAACTAAACTTTACATCAGGATGTGTATTAGACACATCTGACCACGCTGTAGAAAAAAACTTTTGTGAAAAAATCGGCAATTAATAATATTAACAACAATAATTTTTAATAGCAATCTAATCAATAATGACCAAAATGTGTTTTACCAAAAAAATTAATAATGATAACAGTGAAGAGAAAATAATAATAATATTTAATTAAATTGACAGTGGTTATTACAAAACAATTGGTAACCACTAATAAGAAACAAAAAAATTCAGCTATTTTGGCAAGTTTTTGCATTAATTAATTTTCTAAAAAGTTAATGCTAAGATACTCCTCCTTAACTTCACCATCAAGCTCTCATCAATTTATACTGTATCCCTTTGGTATAATGACATCACAATTACTATCTACCTCATTAACATAATCTCATGGATCTATAACTTGCATTTTCCCTGCTGGCTCCAGTTTTAACATATCATGTAACATTTATTTACTGATGAATAAATTAACTTCATAGCACTTTTCCTTCTTTTTGACATTATTTGACTTATTTAGATGTGTATTGGTCACATGTCAAGGTATTTCTCTTTTTCTAAGACAGACTAGTAGTAAGATGCTTTTCAGTTTGTTTTTCTGGTCAGGAGTGCAAAGTTATCATCCTAAACTAAACAAAATATCAAAATAACTAAACAGTATAAGTGATTAAGAACAAAATAAAGTCAAGTTCCCCCCTTGTTCTTTCAAAGTGATATTGCTCCAGATTTTTCAAGATCACTCCCATCCAATTCTTCTTTTGGTTGGAGTCAAGATCTTGGGGATCCATTGGGCAAGATGTTTTTGATGGAGAAGGTGGTCTTTGATAAAATAAATTATGCCATGACTAATGCTTACTACTGTCTCCGAATAATCTTCTGTGACACACCTGTTTTTTACAGATGACTGTATAAATTGATTGGGTGTGATTTATGCTAACCAGGCATGCATCTTTGAAACACAATGATAGGCCATATCATTGTGTTTCAAAGATGCATGCCTTTCTCAAAAGCATTTACACCATTTTTTGCTATTGTAGAAACATTTAATTATTGCTATACACTACACTAATTCATCTGTATTCTGTTTCATCTAGCTCTTCTGCTGTGAGAAACCAAACTTTCTTTTGTTCTTTTATGCCACTTTCAATTGACCAGACAATATAACAAAACACATACACATGCTGATCACATGCTCGCTGTAAATTTGTTCTCAATGCTACCAACTATTGTAATAAAAAATATTCCTCAGATAGTGTGTTGTTTTCAAAAAATAACTTGTGAGTTGTTTTTAATTGACTGACTCATATACATCAAAGTACTGTATTACAATTATTTTTTTAATTATGTTTAAAGAAAAAAAAATCACTTATTGTAAATTATGTTCAAAATCATCTTGTTTTAAAAATTTCTAATCTAATTTTATAGAAAAAATTTATAGAACTAAATCTATTGTCAAATTATTTTCCTTGGTATTCTATGATATATATATATACTTTCCAGTAAGTAAAACTAATTTTTGTCACTCTTATTGTGTGTTTTGCATCATTATATTATAGTACTTCTTATTATGAGAAACTAAATAATTGCCTGCATATTATTTTATATTAATGTGAAAATATAAATATTTTTAAAAAATATATTATATTATTTTGATATTAAGAATAAGCATCTAATTTCTTATATTTGTTATAGCAACGTCG